TGCCATAGTTTCCAATTTGTAAATAGCATTTAGCCTTTTTATTGGGAACTTTTTTGAAATTTCCAAAATGGCTGCCATGTGATTCCAGAATTAACATGAGTGTGACGTGACATCACAGTTGCTCGTTCCTAGGTAACAACAAGATCACAATTGCTCGTTTCTAGATAGCAACAAGGTTTTTGATAAAATGGCACAGAATTACCCTGATTAACAACCTTAAAATCAGATTTTCAAAGAATATATTTGGAGAAACAATAAAAGCAGGGGCGTAGGAAGGTGTAAATTCAACACTACGCCAAAAATATGAAAAAATTGTGTCAAATCTTAACGAATCAAAACGCCTCTTTTATGCTCGTAAAACGTAATTTTTATGGTAATACCTTTCTAATTGTGCTTAAAATGTTCGAATGTTTTTCATGATATAAAATCACCATGGAAAGCCGATCTTTTAAATCTCAACAATACAGATTAAAGAAACTAGTATGATCAATAGAAACATGTCCGTGATCAATGATACAACATAACTCTAATGTCTTCAACTTTTTTTATAAGATAAATAAAGCCCATGCAAAAGTCAACGTGACATTTTGTGGTAAATTGTTTTTTTCCTTTCAAAATAATTATTGGTGCCTAAATGCTTTATTTCCTAAAATAATAATCTATTATATTTCAAATAAAATAGAAATTAGGGTAATTGCTTTCCTAGAACTGAAGTTGAAATGTACTTTCATTTTTACTGGCTTAAACTTCCAACTATCATAACCCTCTACCCCAAATCACCTTGATTTTTACGCCAAAAAGTGCCATTTATCGTGGCCGAAGCTAGAAAAAAGTAACAGAGGAACAAAAACCTTGCAAAGAGTACTATTGAAAAAATCGAACATATTACATGGTTTCCAAAAACATTTCTTTAGTGTGCTCGAGATCACAAACAATTTATTAACAATGAGGAAATATGACTAAAGAACATAAGGAAATTATTAAGCTATTTCATTCTAGCTTTTCAACACTACGCATTGGCGTTTTGGCGTATATTGTTCCTACGCCACTGAAAAGGTAAGTGGAATAAATTAGAAGATGGTTTCAAGTTACCACAGAAATCAATTTGAAACTCAAGAATGCTTTCTTTGACTCATAATCACAAAAAAAGTCGAGTGACATTTTAGATGGAGAATTTCTTAGCATAAATTTTAAAAATTCTCTCTGGTAAACGTATTTGTGGCATGACAATATTAGATGATCAATTTCTTGGCTTTGTCACCCTGTGGTGGTAGAATACTAGTGTCTGAAATTATCTGTTTGCTATCTTGCATACACAGTCAAAATATAAGTCAAACAGTCAGAGTCACGCCAGGTGCAAAAGTACCACTGCAGAGCAAGTGGCCAAAACTTATCCCGTTCCCGGACTATAGTCCTGCACTGAGCGCATTCATTTGCCTGTACGATTACAACTTGGGAGAATTATCTACGCCCCTTACACTTAAGATACCTACCTCAATGCATTATAGAACTCAAGATGTAACTTCTAATATATTGGAATCGCCGATTGTCTGGGTATATCGGCAGAACGGGAACATTTTCTCTTTTTCATCGAGAGAGATTCCATCACTTTTCAAAATGGCGGTTGGATTTAAAAGGGGAATCCCCCGTTTGGCTGTCCCGGATGTAGCCCGGAAGTACCAATATGGAGGAATTTGACGGTTGAAATAAGTTAAATGTTACACGCAAATATTGCGATCAAAAACGAAAATGTCTTGTTCTGCCGATAAACCCAGACAATTGTGGATTCAACTACACGAAAAGAATGCGAAATTACCAAGAAATCTATTGAAGTAGGTATCTGAAGTGTAAGATCAGTAAAAAATTCTCCCAAGTTGTAATCGTACAGGCAAATGTATGGGCTCAGTACAGGACCATAGTCCGGGAACGGGATAAGCCAAAACCGAAAATGCAAATTTTGCCAAATGAAAATCTTGAAATTGATGATCCAGCATTTTGACAAGCACGTATTTCAGTATTGATTCAATGTAAGCGAGAGATCGGGTGATTACCTGTAATGGTTAACAAGAAAATAGCCAATGGAAAATGTCCAAACTTTGGTATTTGTCCTGATATGTCGATCGATGGTAGTTGCCCAGTGGATCCGAAATTGCTCGACAGATGTCGCCTGTAAGAATAACACGTTGAAAATGCGAACGCATTGTTTTAAACAAACAAACGATTCAGGCAAATAGTCATTCTCCAAATGCGTGCTATATGGCACGGGGTACATGGCTAGGATTGCCGTGGTATTTATCCTGTGCCAAAGATCATCTCAGCGATTCTGGACCAGAACCTGGAATGGCCCACTAATTGAGGGCCTACAATTTTGTTCAGGGGGTGGGGGGCTGGATCCCGACCAGTGGATAAGATATAATTTTAAATAGGTAAGCACATGAGGTTTCAATCTAGTTGAAAGCCCATGGTAACCATAAGATACGTTTTGTGGAAAGTCGCTTGAATCCAGTGCAAGACAATGTTATCTGCTAACCCGATTCACGGGCGGATCCAGGATTTTGTGTTAGGGGGGCGTGTGATAAAAACTGAAGACCGAAGAGTCAAATTTTGTAAAAAGCGATAAAGGAAAAAGACGAATTTTCCGACTTTTTAGGAGCGCGTGCGACCCCCACGCCCCCCACACCCCCGTCTAGATCCGCTGGTGCGATTGATGTCACTATGTACAACAAATAGGTTTTATAATTAAAATAAAGCCAATATTTTGTTTCTAACAAAGTAACACTAATTTCGAATGTAAAGTGCCCCAAGTTTCAATAGTACACCACTTTATTACGTCCGGTGATCGCGGGACAAATTGAACGGAGGAGGGGGACTGGAGTAGGTGATTTCTGCAAGAAAATTCATCAAATCTGGATTGAATTTCTTTAAATTGAAAGTTTTTATCCGTCTTCATTGAATAGGCACATGACATGGTAATAATTCGATATCATAGGTCTCTTGGATATTTTTAAACCGATGGCGTTTCTAAGATATGATATATATCGAGGATATATTAAAAGGGCGCATCGTCACCAGATTTGTTGAATTTTCTTTCAGAAATCGCCGCAAATCGACTACTCTAAAGTTGCAACTGCATCGCAGTTTTTTATTCATCAGTTATGAGTAGGTGATAAGTAAAAAAAACGTCCTCCCTATCTACTTTTTGATGAATATCCACCTCTTAGAACTGGACGTTTTATTCAGTTTTCTTTATTCCATTGAAGAAAAGCGGGCTGACATCAAGGTCAAAGCAGATATCGAAGTAATTAGAACTAATGAATCAAATGACATTTTTTAACTAGAACTATATAATTATTACGACCAGATTGCAGATGCCCATGGAACAATTCAAACAAGTAATTTTATATCAATCGGGAGCAAATAGGTAGTTATAATCCCCGGGTATAATCTGCTAGAGAAGAATTTCAATATAACAGCAATTTTAATGGCCGCCATTCATCGTTAAAATATTAACTTTGATTATTCATTTACCGCAAATTCGGGCGGATATCGTTCAGTTTTACAAGATGTTCAAGATGGTTTCTGAATTCAAAATGGATGCCATTTTTCGGAAGAAATGAAATTTTCCAGGTAGTAGTCAAGTAGTGGTTATCGGCCTCGTGGTAAGCCACGCCTTCTCCAGTGCAAGTGAGAGCAGAGATCGAGACGCTATATGAACATCAGAATGACTATCGAATCCAGTTGTCTATCGGTCTGATATTTTAGGGAAAATCACATTTATGCACAACCTCAATATACCGACGCGCATTGTAGCGAAAACCAATATCATACCGAAAACCATTATACCGATGCGCGTTGTACCGAAGCCTTCCAATGGTGCGTCCAACTAACGGTACCGACGGTAATTTTGTCAGTCTTCAAAAAGGTTTTGAAATCTTGTTCGATGCGCTACACTTAAGCTAATTTCTCAAGCCAGAACGCCGTTCGATTCACTTCTGCTAGAAAGAGAGTAGAGAAGACAAGAGTTGCATAATTATGTGGCTACCCTTTTTCAATGATATAAAATGTACATAATGTACTAATGTTGTCAGTCAGCAAAAATATTCCATTAGCTATTACATACGTTTGATGCGTTATATTTCATTTCAATCAATTTTTTCCATTTTAATTTATTCCGATTCTCTGCCCATAGGAATGGATCCTTCGACTCCGAATGCGCGTGTCGGTATTATGGCCACGGGGAGTAAATAAATATAGGCCTAGGCTACAGATTATAACACAGACACACAAGGACGATTTAATCATTTTAAATAAAATCTGGCTGTTCTAGTAGGGCTATTAAATTACTCTTCCACTGGCTATCTAGCTTTCTAGCTTATAGGCTATGTTATCATACCCACTGAGTTACTCCCTGCTTCCACTCACTACGTGGGTCTAAGTGATAAGAGGGAGGGGTGACTTACTCCCCATGATCATGCCTTTCAGAACAATGCGCAGTTAATAATGGTTTCGGTGTAACGCGCAGACCCCTCGCGTTAGGTACCTCACGTACAGGTACATCACGCCTGTGACTGAGCACACAAGGACGTCCTTGGTGCACACGTTTTTCGCGAATCGGCAACTTGACTTTCGGCTGTTGGCTACCAGATTAACCTACTATTTTATGACTTACTCATTTGAATATGAATGGAATAGTGGCAGGTATTATTCATATTCAAATGAGTTGCCCATAAAATAGAAGGTTAATCCACCCGGTTAATCCGGTAGCCGACAGCCGAAGGTTGCATTTGCGAATACAAGCTCGGTTTTGCTTGACTGTGTACCACCCGCCTTCCATCCGGCCTCCCATGTACTTCACCTTCCCAACCCAACACAGTATAGAAAGGTGAAATACACCGTTTTGTTGTATTTCGATGGCGTGGGCACATTGATTATAAGCGATCATCATTTACATTTTTTTCTCGTTCGGATTTCTAGCGCAACGTTGCAGCGCCCTCTTTCTATGAATTCTGAGGAAAAGATTTGGGAAGAACTTTTCAATTCCAGGGGAAAGAAATTGGTCAAAAACATGACTAATATCAAGGTATTCAGTGGATCTTCACATCCAGACATAGCGCAGAAGATAGCGGATCGTCTTGGAATAGAACCTGGAAAAGTTATCCTCAAGAAATTCAGCAATGGAGAAACATGGTAAGCACGTGTTGTTTTCATTTCAGTTTTGTTGTCATTTGATTTTTTCAGATTTGATTGCAGATTTTGATTTTCTTCATTTCTACCATATCTTCATTTAAGTTTGCCTGCATAATCTTGTTTGTTGAAATGTACTTGTGGCATATTTATGATGTTTTTTCCATTCATGTTTGATTGGAAATGTTATTGATGTTGTTGTTGAAAATGAGGTCAATCAGTGCATCAGCCTTATCGCATCCTACGACCCCTTTAGATTGTGGTCGTACGCCCGTATCATTGGTAAGCCTGTCTTTCTACAATGTCAGAGAATGAACTACGCATTGCACTATTAAATGACCTACAGTTGGGGACAAAAATAAATGACAGGTCGATTTTCGATCACCATTTCCTAATTATGGTGGTCTGAAAGCCCATAATTTCCAATATTGTCTAGATACATATCCCTTAAAATTTGTATATTTTACATTTTGTATAATCTCATCCACTGATTTATGGCCTCTTGTAAATTCTCTTATTTTTAACATGGGAAATCCTCACTTCAACAAATCCACCTGTCATTTATTTATGTCCCCAACTGTACAGTGCTGATATATAATAATCAAGGGTGCGTTTTCAAACTAAACAGAGTGCTCCTATCAAAATGAATTTGCCTACATACCCCTGAGACTCTTATCTGATAGATAAAATGCACAAATAAAACAAAAGTTTTGCTATTATAGGTAAAAAGTTCTCTTGAAATTTCGAAGTGATTTTACCTGTTAATTCTGTCCATGTCACGCCATTTTTGCGGAAGTTACACTGAAACGCAAACTCCATGAAACGAAACGAAATCACTAGAAAAAAAACATGGCACACATTGTGCGCATGTGCAGCAAAGTTTAGACCAATCAGATTATTTGATTATTTTGCGCATATGAATTAGTTGCTTCTGAGCACTTACAAGCTTACCACAATAAACAAACCTGGCAGAGACTACCCTTAGCCCACTTCATTTTGGCGAAATTTCAGCTCAAACTCGTGACAAATGCATTATGCATACGGTGGTGTGAAGCCTTGGAGACACTCATTTTGGTAAATATGATTTATGGGGTATACTTTTCTGCAGTATGTGTGAGTTTGGGACATTAAATGTTAAAATTCAAGAAAATATGCCAATAAAACGACTGATCAATTAATATATACCAGCACTGTACCTTGATACATTCCAGAGTATTTTAGAATTCTTTTTATGTTGTTAGATCACCAATTGTATGGGTTTATCGGCAGAACGAAGATATTTTCGTTCTTGATAGCAATTGCGTGTAATATTTAACTTATTTCAACCGTCAAATTCCTCCATTCAGTTCCCGGCATGCACCAGTCATAAGGGAAATCCCTGGGGAATTCCCCTTCCGACATTTTGAAAATTGCTGACATATTTCCGATGTAAAAACTAAAATCTCTTCGTTCTGCCGATAAACCCATACAATTGGCGATTTAACAACACAAAAAGAATTCTAAAATACTCTGGAATATATCAAGGTAGGTCATTTAATAGTGCAATGCGTAGTTCATTCTCCGACATTGTAGAAAGATAGGCTTACCAATGATACGGGCGTACGACCACAATCTAAAGTGGTCGGTAGGATACAATAACATCAGCCCTGTCAACCCTCACGCATTAGGCGTGATTGTCACGCATTTGCTGGAAAATTAGAAATCAGGCATAAATTTAGCGTGAATGATCAAATGTAACGCAAATCACGCATAATGTTGATATTTTTAAAAATCGTTTTTTTATGAAATGCCGATACGGTAAAAATCCGAACGGCGGAAAAAACGAAGAAATTCCGTGTTGTCTTTGTATGCGATTGCCGTTTATGTCACGCAATTGGTCCAAAATATTTTATATCACGCATTGATTTGTTACGAAAATATTTACACCTACCTACTGTAGGTGTTCAACATTTGTAAGTCACTCATGTTAGATGGTCCCAAGTTGACAGCCCTGGTGCATGCATCTATTCATTTGTGAAAATGTGTGATGGAAACACAAATTTTTCAACAAACTTTCTGTTTTTAGCTGTTGCAATACAATATAAATTTACTCAGCGTTTCCAGATAAACTGTCGGAATAGTTCAACAAGTAAACCTAAACAGTGTTCCACTTGATTTTTCCGACTACTTTGATCATGAAAAATAAGACTTGGCTAAAGAATGATACTGTCACTTAGTAAAATATTCAACCTAACAGCACATAAACTTTATTGTGTCAACCATTGAGCATAACCACAGTATCCAAGAGATAAAAATGAAATGTAAAACTGACTTACTTTCTTCATGAATTCCATAAGTTTTGATTTTGAGCACACATGTGCAATCTGCGCAAGATTAATTTTTTCTAGTTTGTGCATGTGCATATAACAGACTTTGGACTTGGAAAATTATATAATAGCGAAAATATAATAGCCGCGAAATTCCAACAGTTCTAATTCGAGAAATTTAAAAGACGCGAAATTCCACGGAAATTCCCGGGGATTTTAATGTTGACAATATTTTCTTCCAGTGCTGGGCGATAATATGTAAATACGTGGTGTTTCGAAAAGAGAAATTAGATGAAAGATCGTTATTACGCTATTAAAATTAACATTCTAACGAAATGGCTTAATTAAGCCAAAATCATCAGGCGAAGGAACAACCATGGTTGATATTAAAGTCGAAAGAGTGATCTTGGATGACAAATTCGTGAAAATTAATAGTCGCAAAATTTCAAAAAACTGAAACTTAACGAAATATAATAGCAGGCCTGTCAACTGTCCCGCAATTTGCGTATTTGTCATGCATTTGCTGAAGAATTGGAAGTCACGCCAGTTATTTTTGCGTGACAGAAAATGTCACGCAAATACGCATTTTACCTGGTTATTGTCAAGCAAAAATATTTCTGTAGAAAAATTTCTAAAAAAGTTCGTCTACACAGCAAAAATACGAACGCCGAAATAAAAACATACGCATTTCATTCGGATTTTTCACGCGAATCACGTATATGTCACGCATTCCGTTCGAAATTTTTCGTACTTACCCCCCCCCCCCCCCCCCCCCCCCCCCCCCCCCCCCCCCCGTTGATGGATGTTTGAAACGCGAGCGTAGCGATCGTGAAAAATTTGAGGTGTTCAAAATTTGGCAAGATGTAATAAAATTTAAACCAAGGTGTTCAAAATTTGGATTAAGGTGTTCAGATTTGGAGGGGAGGTGTTCCCAAGTTGACAGGCCTGTAATAGCCATCAAATATTAAGAGATATAAAAGAGTCAAATATTAGTGGGAGTACAGTATTTACTTTGCTACGCATAATTTCACGCCCGGTGATCGTGAATATGGGACGGAGGGGGGGGAGCAGGCAATTTCTGCTAGGAAATTCAACGAATCTGGAAGATTTATTTTTTCAAGAAAAAGTTTACTATTGAATTGCTAAATGGATAGGCGCACGGTATGGTAGAATATGTTAGGTTTTCTGGGATTTTTTCTGAAACGATACGCATCTAAGGTATGAGATCTATTAAAAAAGGCGCAATGCCATCAACAGGCACAAATCAACGTTTTTGCTATAAATCAAGCAACAATGGACTACACGACCTGTGATAAATACTTGTAAGTGATGTTATCATAACTAAATTAATGTCATTGCTGAATTTATAAAATAAGTTTCCATACGTAAAATAAAAAATAATCTAAAATAATTAAAATGGGACGGAGGGGGGGAGGGGACGGAGGGGGGGGGGGAGTAATAATTCTATAAAGTGAAACAACTTCACACGAATTCTTGTATTTGAAAAATGAACTCATTAACTCAGTAAGAAACTGGATGATATACCTCTGGAGAGTGAAAAATGGGGACATTTGGAGTAAAAGGACTTAAAGTCGCGAAACATCTCTAATCACGTCTTATATACATATTGCTCCCCCCCCTCCGTCCCCTCCCCCCCTCCGTCCCAAATTCATTATTTTCGATTATTTTTTATTTCACATATGAAAACTTATTTTATAAATTCAGCAATGACATTAATTTAGTTATAACATCACTTACAAGTATTTATTACAGGTCGTCCAGACCATTGTTGCTTGATTTATAGCAAAAACGTTGATTTGTGCCTGTTGATGGCCTTGCGCCTTTTTTAATAGATCTCATACCTTAGATGCGTATCGTTTCAGAAAAAATCCCAGAAAACCTAACATATTCTACCATACCGTGCGCCTATCCATTTAGCAATTCAATAGTAAACTTTTTCTTGAAAAAATAAATCTTCCAGATTTGTTGAATTTCCTAGCAGAAATTGCCTGCTCCCCCCCTCCGTCCCATATTCACGATCACCGGGCGTGAATTTAGACACAGACATAGACCATTTGTGTCTAAATGAATGATAGGTATGATTTGACTCGCATATAATCAAAGTTCACACCACTATCTATGTGTGAAAATTTTTTAAAATGACTAACATGTGGGCAGGCGTGCTCAAAATAAAGCGTATCAAAACTTCCTGAATAATGAAGGCTGTTTTACATTTCATTTTATGATTTGTTTGGTATTGTGCTTATGCCCAATGGTTTACAGAACAAAGTGCTGTGTCTTGTTTAACATAGGCCAAATCTATTTTCAATTTGAGTTACATTTTGCCTCATTTTTGAGAAATTAGAAAAACAGGATGCATGAAAAATTGGCTCAAATTTTTAAAAAACATCTCCAAATTTTGGTAAAATGTAAATGGGTGCAAGACTTCCTCATCATGTAAAGTTACATTATACCTGATTTACATGTTTCCCTTTGTCTTTAGTGTTGAGATTGGTGAATCTGTTAGAGGGGAGGATGTCTACATTGTGCAGAGTGGCTGTGGAGAGATCAATGATATGTTAATGGAGATGCTTATTATGTTAAATGCCTGCAAGATCGCCTCATCCTGTAGAGTTACATAATACCTGATTTACATGTTTCCCTTTGTCTTTAGTGTTGAGATTGGTGAATCTGTTAGAGGGGAGGATGTCTACATTGTGCAGAGTGGCTGTGGAGAGATCAATGATATGTTAATGGAGATGCTTATTATGTTAAATGCCTGCAAGATCGCCTCTTCCTGTAGAGTTACATTATACCTGATTTACATGTTTCCCTTTGTCTTTAGTGTTGAGATTGGTGAATCTGTTAGAGGGGAGGATGTCTACATTGTGCAGAGTGGCTGTGGAGAGATCAATGATATGTTAATGGAGATGCTTATTATGTTAAATGCCTGCAAGATCGCCTCTTCCTGTAGAGTTACATTATACCTGATTTACATGTTTCCCTTTGTCTTTAGTGTTGAGATTGGTGAATCTGTTAGAGGGGAGGATGTCTACATTGTGCAGAGTGGCTGTGGAGAGATCAATGATATGTTAATGGAGATGCTTATTATGTTAAATGCCTGCAAGATCGCCTCTTCCTGTAGAGTTACATTATACCTGATTTACATGTTTCCCTTTGTCTTTAGTGTTGAGATTGGTGAATCTGTTAGAGGGGAGGATGTCTACATTGTGCAGAGTGGCTGTGGAGAGATCAATGATATGTTAATGGAGATGCTTATTATGTTAAATGCCTGCAAGATCGCCTCTTCCTGTAGAGTTACATTATACCTGATTTACATGTTTCCCTTTGTCTTTAGTGTTGAGATTGGTGAATCTGTTAGAGGGGAGGATGTCTACATTGTGCAGAGTGGCTGTGGAGAGATCAATGATATGTTAATGGAGATGCTTATTATGTTAAATGCCTGCAAGATCGCCTCTTCCTGTAGAGTTACATAATACCTGATTTACATGTTTCCCTTTGTCTTTAGTGTTGAGATTGGTGAATCTGTTAGAGGGGAGGATGTCTACATTGTGCAGAGTGGCTGTGGAGAGATCAATGATATGTTAATGGAGATGCTTATTATGTTAAATGCCTGCAAGATCGCCTCATCCTGTAGAGTTACATAATACCTGATTTACATGTTTCCCTTTGTCTTTAGTGTTGAGATTGGTGAATCTGTTAGAGGGGAGGATGTCTACATTGTGCAGAGTGGCTGTGGAGAGATCAATGATATGTTAATGGAGATGCTTATTATGTTAAATGCCTGCAAGATCGCTTCATCCTGTCGAGTGACTGCTGTAATCCCATGTTTCCCATATGCTAGACAAGATAAGAAAGACAAGGTAGGATTCATTCTGCATCTAAATTGTTACATTGTGTCTGTTATGACCTTGTTTCATCCCCATCCCCATGTTTGCTTTGAGCAGTACATGTACATGTACAGTTAAAGGGACAATACTGGAAATCAGGAATAATTCCTTAGAAAATCTTCAAAATAAATCGTTGGTGCCTCAAACCTGCCCCTAAGAATGGCTACGACGTGAACTTACTTTTGTCAAAATACCGGAGCCTGAAAAAAATCACTCACCTAGATATCAACGTAAGAAGTGTCAGTTTCGTTCGACTGCGAGAGCAAAATTGAAGCTGAGCTAAACGGTTTTCGTTTGTCGTAAAATTGACCTCATTTAACTGCGCCATCTGGCGAATGAATCATTGTTTCGTGTCATATGATTCGTTGTTTTGTGTCACGTGACCTACCTTTAGACCTTTTGCCACCTATCGTAAGTTAATCGAATTAAAATGAAATTTTTCGATCCAAGAAGAAAATTTGCACAAAAATTATAAACCCCGCTTGACATAATCTTTGTCACTCTATCGTCTTCTTGATGAGGCACCTCGGAACTTGGGATTAATAGCCATTCAACCAAGCCACAAAAAGTATGTATATTAGTTGTTCAACATGTTCAATTGTGTTAATATTTCCCGGAACTCGGCCTTTAAACATGTCAAGGGGAAACACCTCTGTAATTAGAACACCACCCTATATGTAAAACTTTTCAAAGACGTATGACCAATCGACTTAATGTTAATATGAAATCATCAAATCATATTTTAGAAGTGTCTTTTTGGGCATGATGATTTGAAATACAAGGTTATAATAATTTTAATTCAATGTTCAAGTGAATATTTTCGTATAATGTGCAGTGACTATAACATAGTTCAAGTACATGATTACCAACATATATTAATCTAATATGACCTGACATAGATCAGGTTCTTGTATTACCTTTAAAAGTGAATTAAGACTAAATGTAACTGCAGTAAAATTAGCTGTAAACCAAACCTAGATAGGTAATGATGTTACAATAATTCTTTTCCACCAGGATAATTTCTTTGATAAGATGATTTGAAGTTAAATGATTTTGGCTCAAATTATTTTTAAACATTTATATGTTACATGACACCTGTTTGAGTATTTGCACTAAATGAATACAAAAACAGTAAACATGACATATATCAGGGTTTTGCATTACTTCTATAAAATGAAGCAGTTGAAAATTAGCTGTAAACCAAAACCTAGAATGGTGTTGACTTTACAATAATTTTATCACATCAGCATAATATCTTGATTGTTTATAGTTAGACTCTTTGACACTAATTTGTTGCTATCTTTTGCCCGACACTTTGTTTCTTAACAGTAAACATGAATACAACCTGTTACATTTGGATAGTGAAATGCTATAATGCATTATGCTTTTTATATTCAGAGTCGTGCACCTATATCTGCAAAGCTTGTTGCTAACATGTTGTCAGTTGCCGGGGCCGACCACATCATCACAATGGATCTCCATGCCTCACAGATACAGGTAATTACAGGGTATCTACAGGGCATTGCAATAACTGTTTCATACAGTGGCCTTTGGGAATTCATGTCTTTTTTTACGGAATTTGAAAAGTGGTATTGTCATTGTTTTGTGTCCGTTGATCATCCTTTTAACATTTGAAATACAAAAATGGAAATTGAGACTTGAAGGTCTGCTGAGTCAAAGAATTTGCAAAGGAAAAAATGATGTGCTTTTCTCACATTTAAATAACTGAAACATTTTTTTGCAGGGTTTCTTTGATATTCCAGTGGACAACTTGTTCGCAGAGCCTGCTGTGTTAAAGTGGATCAGAGAGAATATCAATGAATGGAGGAACAGTATTATAGTCTCCCCTGATGCTGGGGGTGCAAAGAGGTGAGCAACAGTCTTGTCATGGTTGCTCAAATCTTTTGATTTTGTATAAGGTGAGCAACATTGTCTTCATGATTATTGTATAAAGTAACAGTAAATTGACCAGAAAGGTAAGTGCTATTTATTTGGGTTAGTTTAAGAGAGAAAATCTTTCTTAATGCCTAGGTCACATTTACCCGGATTCTTTGGCCGGCACCTGGCTGATTGCAGTATTTTGTTTAAAACTGATTTCAACTTGCTTCAAATCGACCAAACCTTTTTTAAAATCATGTACAAGTTCTCAGGAGTTCATGTCTGACCTCAAATTTGAGATTTGACCTTCAATTTCAATATTTGACTTGTTTCATTGAAATTTTTTATGAAAATATTTTAGAAGGGAATTTTTTCAAAATACATATGCTGTTTTTCAAAGTAAACTTCTGGGACTCATTAGAATTCTCGAAATCGTTGTTCCCTCTTCAAAATAGCAGACGCTAAAATCTTTCCTTATAAGGTCAAAATATTTCCCATGATGCAGTTCGCGGAGGAACAAATTTATACTTCCTTGTTTTCCCTCATAGGTTTAACATGGGGACTTTCAAACCTATTTTTCAAACGATATATTCATTCATATTCCCGTACAAGAGTACAGAAAAAATTATTAGAAACGATTGCGTAATTAGTTTGATTTAGAACTTTCGGGTCACTCAAATAGCTACGCGAAATGCATAGTGGGAAAATATTGACCAATCAAATGTTGTCCTTTTTGATTGCTTTTTCAGTACATATTTGCAAACGTTCTGATTCAAAGAGCGAACCGCGAAAGGGAGAATTGCTGGATTGCAACAAATAAGGTCTTAAAATAAAGTATTTCACTGGAGCATGCCACTGGGCCCCCGATACCCTGACAGTCAAACTGCAGCAATATTTGTGAATATTTTTGGCGTGTTACAAATGCAGTAAAGTTGTATACAAAAGCAATGTTGCGCAAATCCTTTTGACATATTTGTAACTTTTTCAGGGTGACATCTATAGCAGATCGACTTAATGTGGAGTTTGCTTTGATTCATAAAGAACGCAAAAAAGCTAACGAGGTTGCATCAATGGTGCTGGTTGGTGACGTGAAGGATCGTATTGCAATCCTTGTAGATGATATGGCTGACACATGTGGCACAGTGTGCCACGCAGCAGAGAAGTGAGTTGACAAAGTGGCCAGTATATTTTACAATTTCAACGCATTCATCAGTCTGTGCTGAGTGCTCCTCAAGATTTTTTATTATTAATACGGAGCTTAATCCTAATTTTTAGCCTGTTTTGGTCAAATATCTCATTGTTTCACAAATTTTGGCAGTTGCAAACAGATCTTCAAGAGAGCCATTTAATATCCTATTTTTCAATGTGTGCAGAACCTGGTAGCTATAGGAGATCCTAGTATACACTGCTTCAAATGCCCTTTTGCCATTTTTAAGTTCTTTAGATTCGTAGTTCCCTATTTAAGAAATCCCAACATGGTGTTCAGATAGGCAGGTGTTCACCTTCAAGTTTTTATTAGCATGGTGATGTATAGCATAGTCAAAAAGGGACCGAAAAAAGTATTCACAGAAAGAGGTGTTCAGATTTACATGTTTTACTATTCTTGTTTATCTTGCAGATTACTAGAGGCAGGTGCTGTGAAGGTGTATGCTATTTGTACCCATGGTATACTATCGGGACCTGCCGTATCGCGGATCAATAACTCCATGTTTGAATGTGTCGTTGTCACTAACACTATACCACAGGATCAGAAGATGAAGCAATGTTCAAAACTCAGAGTAAGTTGATAATTCGGTACTGGACTAGGGAGACATTACATATGTACACATGCAGATTACATTGGGCCCCATATGAGTTCGTACGAGCCTCAAGAATTACGTCATTATGGGCAAAAAGGTGCATAATCCTCATATGGGCTTGTACGGAGCTTGTTTTTGAGTCCTGTACAAGCTTGTACGATGGTCGTAATTGATCTTTTCTAGGCCTGTTATCGTACTCTTTTACAGCACAAAAAAATATAATTAATGTCATACATCATGCACGTATCTATCTATGTATCTTTAATCATTTCAAACATTTTTTATATATTCGATAACAACAATACATTATGGGCCTCGTTACGAACATTGCACAGGCAAGTACAAGGCTCGAGAATTACAAGCTATTACAGGCCTCGTAACAGGCAATGTACGAACAAGTATGGGGATCAAAAATTAGGATTTATTACGGGGATCGCTACGGGCACCGTACGGTCAAGTAAGGGGGTCGAAAATTACGGGCTATTAAGGGCCTTGTAATTACAAGCTCTTATGAGGCTCAAAAATTACAAGCAATTACGAGACTTGTAACGAGGCCTGTACGAGGTTGTACAGGGCCTGTTGACTCAACGAGCTCCGTCCGGGCTTGTGCAGGATCCGATGTAATTTGCCTGTGTATGTCACGTCCCTTGCTAATTGTATTGGGAGACATTACATACATAGGTCACTGTCACTACCCTTATCAATGCATGACAAAAATCTGCTGAAATGGTCAAATAATCTTGAAAAAACGTTGAATAAAATGATATTTTTACCTTTTGTACAGAATTGAAGCTTATATATTGTTTTATCAAATTCAAAGTGCCTGTCCATTTCTTGTCTCTTGTAACACCTCATATGTCTCTTTCATAGAGTTAAATACAGCACTTGCCACTTTGCATTTTCTATTGTAATAGGATGTTAAAAATGAAATCATCAATAAGTTATACTTTGAATATACAAATTGCCATGCAAAAAAAATCATTCCAATAAAGGCCACAATTTTAATGTATTTTTACTTCATATAGATGGACTACAAACTTTTAATTCTGTTTTTCATTAGTTCGTCATGTACTCAAGAAACATATATTTTTGTTTATATTTTCAGTCTATAGATATATCAATGATATTAGCAGAGGCCATAAGGAGAACCCATAATGGGGAGTCAGTGTCATATCTCTTCAGTCAAGTCCCCATGTAGCAGCAAACCTGACTTAAGTAGGTATTGTTTTGTATTTTATTGTATTGTATTGTATTGTATTTTATTGTATGATATAACCTGACTTAGGTAGGCATTGTATCATATTTTATTGTATTGTATTGCATTGTATGATATTAATATGTTGGTTGGCGTACCCAGGCAAGTGGTAGGTGAGCCAACTGCATCTCAAAAATTCATAATTTCAGGATTATTCAGCAGTAATTCTTGTATACATCCTTTAGTCTAAATTTTTCTCACCTTTTAATTCCTGTCTAATTTTCATCGTGGATGGATTGGGGAATTTAGCTTATCCATTTTGTTTATTGCCACCTGCTGCTTGTGTTACTATGCAACGACGCTATATTAGACTTCAATTAATTCATTGAAAAAATAAATACCTATCTTATTCATCTACTTGCATTAATTTACAATATTCAGAATATTTACTTTTTGTTTCAGATCTATTTTTGAATCGACCATAGCTACTCTACAAGTTTTCCATTCCGTGTTACAATAAGCTGCACCCATTCTAGACTTCAACCTGTAGTAGGGACCCTGTAAATAGAGTGTTATGTGTTTGACATGTAAACTATAGTGGAATAGATAGGAATTGAAAATCCTTGCATATTAAGAGTATTAAAGTGTGATCAAATCACCAGTAATTTTCCATTTATTCGCCATTGAAGTATTGATTCATATAGGGATCTTGTCCATTTGGCAACAAATTGAGAAGAGTGTTCTAGTAAATTTTAATTCCATTTTTGAGGAACGTTGGTATTGTGAAGAGCTTAGTAAAAGGCACACCATTATTTTCAACCATTATTTTGTTATATGGGGAAGGAGATGTCGAACTACGAACTAATGTCATACTCGTATTATGCAATTACCTTCTATATCTGTTGTTGATTGGACACCATTCCTTACCGCAATCCTCCTGTCTATGAAGTCATAAACAGATATTCAGCTGTTCAGCTCCTATCTGAGCGTTCTAGCTCAAATGCTGATGTAATTAGAGCAGAATAGAAATTATTGTTACCACTAATGAATTTGACAACATGGATGACAATATGAATAGTTAATGGAGAAAGTATGGGATGAACAAATTGTAATATAGACCTCTAGAATATTATGAAATATGTACTGTACATTTAAATGGGTAAATGTCTATCATTATGTGTTCATACTCAAGAATTGCTTGAGTAGACAAGTTACTTGAGTAAAATACTCATGACAGTGAGAAGTATTGATCTTGATAACACAGGGCTTGGTTTTTGTATTACTTATTTTGTTTTGTTCTTTATCCACAGTCCCTTCGTTTAATGAAGGGCTACAATGGTCATGTGACCACAATTATAGATATCATTGGATAATAAATATAGTCACATGATCTTATCACATGAAATTAGTATGATTGGATCAATACTTGTGACAAAGGAAGTTTTAAATCAATTAGAGCACCATTCTAAGGTGGGGTGATTTTTGGGAAGTATTAAAGCAAAAGCTGATAACATACATGTATTTGAATGACAAAAAAAGTTAAGCATGACAGTAGCATGCATGATGATGTACTTACATCTCTATATGATGACATTAAAAATGTGTTGTTAACCATTTGTTTTATCTTAGTGACTTATTGTGTTATTGTACAATGTACATTAGTATACAATTAAGTGGTTCAGTCTGTTACTCTGACCTTGAAATACCTCAAATAAACCAATATGAAATATATGTGCCATTGATATACTTTGATATTAAAGCTTGAGAAATGGTTGCTTTGTACATGCTGTAAGCAAGAACAAGCTGTTTCAGATAAAAAAAATTAATTTTAAAGAATTTTGATCAGTTATGGGACTGACTGACCCACTTTAATAAAAAGGGGTATCATGTGTAGATAATTGAAAGTGAACAAATAAATTGATAATGTACAATTCTAGTACAATTCAAATTTGATGTCAGTTTTATCATTGAATTCTGCTACAATTAACAAAATACATGTAATGAGTTTGATTACCTATTGCACGCTATTAGGGTACCATCTTGATTACATCATACTATTAGTTTGCTTGAGGCATAGCAGGTTCAAACATGTCACTTCCTCATGGGTGTAGCAAGGCAACTACCCGCCATAATTTCACAAAAAAATATATTTATACTGACAATTTTTCGACTAAAACTGAAATAAAGTCTGAAAGTAGTAAAATCCATGTACCTCCTTCAGCCTAAAGGTGGGTCGCCAATATTTACATTTGCTTTGCCTAACGTTTGATCCTGACTATGCCCTTGCTTTCTGCTAGATGTAGCCCTTTGCTAAGTTATGAAACCATGAGCAAGCTGATAATATAATGGGACTAGTTGTTACCCATGATATAAGCACTATGTATAACTTTAGCATTGCATAAGAGTCAGTAGCATGGGTTCTAAAAAACCTCAACATACTGTGAGCATTTTAGGATACACATGATCAAACACCAAGTTCACATATACAAGAAGCCCTGTGCCTTAGCAATGGTATTGCTTAGCATACAGTATCATAAGGTTTGGTTAGTACACATGCGTAATTCCCAGTCACCTATAGGATAATGTCCATTGACCCAAAGGGCTTTGTATAAAAAACCTCCTACCTCATACCCACCTATCCACATATGTGGGACATGATACATTCTTTGAAGGGTTCAATTTTAAAGATCTTAGTTTATCAAATATTAGTTTATGATGAATTATAGATGCATTTGTAACGACCCTTGATAGCAAGTTACTGCAACATCCCTGCTGGGTTCGATTCCCACTCGGGGCATCGAATTTAGCACACTTTCTTTCAATTTCTTTATCTGGTTTGTTGGACATACGCTCGAGGTCGTTAGTTATTCATTCCCCCGGGGCGCCCTCGGGTAATTACACATTAAAATGCATCCATATGCCTTTATTTATGGATCTGTCTAGTCTTGAAATAGAGCCGGGATTGTAGAAATGTTAAAGTGTGGGCCAAAGTTAAAAACTGCACAGGCGCAGCGCTCTCGCTAACCTATATAAAGAGATTAAAAGGTACAGGCTTCAGAGGTAAGTCAGGAAGGTGAACAATCTTCGTCCCATGTTGATTTCCCGTATAATCGTAAACAGGCAAGTTTCACCATTGAAATTGAAAATTACTATTAGATATACTTTGTAGATGTTATTAATGAGCTATTAAGTGTATGCATCAATCAAATGGCTCATTTTGAACATATAAAAAGTATTTGTGTTTTGTTTCCCAGGGAATCGTATTCCCATGTAGTACACACATAAATAGTGTACATTATGTAGTACTTGAATAGCCTGGTTTATATAATATTGAAGGGCATGCTGATTGTACACACGAGTACATGCATGAAGGCCTAATATTGATATTGCTTGCATACCTAAAAAGTAAACTCTTCTAATCCCTTAATGTAAACACGGCGGTATACGTAGTCCGATTTATCGGAGACTTTAATAATTTGAGCTATTTTGAGATTTAATAATCTTTAAAATTGAACCCTTCAATGACTGTATCATGTTTCACATAGGTGGGTATGAGGTAGGAGGTTTTTATACAAAGCCAACCCATAGACCCCATAGGACATAGGAAATTGACAACAAGGCAGCTGAAAATTACCTTACAACTGGTTTGTTATTCAGTTTAGATGCTTATAATGCACAATTTGTAATGTTTGAATTAAGTGAGGTTCACATCACCTCAAGTTCATTTTTTATTGATGTATGTACATGCAGATAAATACCTCATTGAATTAACTTGAAAAATTACACTTAATTTTGGGATATTATCATTCATAATGCTCTCTTCATGATAATGAAGGGCAGCATTCAAAGGTTTGCATTCATAAAACATTTAATTCCAATCTTGAGAGCAACCTAACTGGTCAATTTCCCTACCTCCGGAGCAGTAATTGCTGTCACACATTGTCAAAATTGTGATTACCGGGAAGATTTTGATTACTGAGATACATATTTCAGAATCCAACTCCCTGGAATAGTGGAACGAACAATAGTTTGTTTCAAATAATCTGAATACCAATCAGAGAAATTAGTGAGGATATCAACATTAAAAGTTAACCATTAACAACATCAACTTATAAAAATATGTCTAAGGTCACAGAAACCTTGTGCTTTATACACATATAGGCACTGTATACTATATATTCTAGTTAGTGCTTCAATGGCTCAGTATTGATTGTTCAAATAAAGAATGCAGTTTGAATAGGATCCATTTAGTTCACATACAGAAACTCATTGGCCTCGGCATAAGGAAGTTGTGTGTTAAAATATAAATGTTTTGTGTTTATTAACTATTGAGTAGGTCAACTAAGTACTTAAAAATCTCTGTACTGATACTGAAGGTTAAAATGGCGACAGCAATGGAGGAACACGTCAAAGAGACATTGAAATGTAAGGTGTGTTATGAGACACTAACAGACCCTAGGACACTTCCATGTATGCATACATATTGTTGCAAATGCCTGGATAAGTTGGAGAAGATAAATCAAGGACAGAAACAAAGTCTTTGTTGCCCAGAATGTAGACAGGTTCATACAATACCGGAAGGAGGAGTGACCAAATTTAAGGTCAACTTCACCACTAGTTCATTAGTGGATCTACTTCATTCTATGAATGTTATTGGAGACAATCCTAAATGTACAGTATGTAAGGAAGATGAAATAGACAATGATGCTCTAACAAAGTGTGTACAGTGTAATGAACAGTTTTGTAAGGATTGTGATCGCTATCACAAAAGATTTCATAAAGGTCACACAGTTCTTGACCTAACAGGTGATCAGACTCGAGATAAAGCAAGTGTGCTGAACATGGTCAAACAGAGTGTCATCTATTGTGAAAAGCATAAAACAAACCCACTAGAGATATATTGTAAGGTGGACCAATGTGCTATATGTGCGACTTGTTATGCCATTGACCATTCAGACCATAAATGTGTGGATGTTCATAAAGCTGCACTTGACAATATGAAGCTAATTGATGAGCTCCTGGAGAAAGGTGATAAGTTGGTCCAGAATTATGAAAAGTCAATACAGAACACTCATACAAAGAAGGATATAATGGAACATGAGGCCGATGATGTTACAAATGAACTGAACAATGATATGAACACAGCTATCCAAGCGATCCGTGATAAATACACAAAGAATATTGACTCAGTAGCTGAGAAAAGAGCCACATGTGCAAAACAGGCAATTGCCCATCTAGGACATCTTGAAATGCAGAAGGCCACCACTGAGAGCACAATGAGTCAGCTACTTACATTGAAACAACATGGGCATGATACCCAACTGGCTAACATGACCCAAGACATTAGTTCTAAATCAAAAGAATGGTCCCAACCCAAGGACTTTGAATTTGACAATGGCATTACATTTAAAATACACAGAGGTGAAGTGTTTGATGATAAAATAGTGTTTGGAAAGGTGGATATTAACATCCTGAGAAATACATCAAAGACAGTAAGATTATGTGAAAGGCCAACACTGTTAAGGAAAGTGAAGTCAAATGTTCAGGATGTTTTGGATTTAGCTGTAACTGACAATAATGAAACTGTAGCTAATGGTTACGGAACACCAGCTAGTGTCTATGACAAGGAATTCACTTTAAAGACTACATTTGGTAAGGGATTTTACAGGGCTACTTGTAAAAGTAATTATATCTACCTCACCAGTGGGACTGATACAGTCCATGTATACAGCCTGGATGGTACACACAGTAGAGATATAAAGATACCCTCATTGAGACAATGTTGGGGTATTGCTGTTAACTCAAGAGGTGAACTTGTTATATGTGACACTAGTACAGAGACTGTGTACCATGTGGATAGTGCCACTGGTAGAATCATGACCAAGTCTGAACCAGGTATCTTAAACTGGCCACTCTATGTAGCTGTCAATAGTAAAGATGTAGTGATTGTGTCTGATAATAGAGCACATTGTGTGGTGGGTTTGACCAGAGATGGCAATGAGCTGTTCAGGTATGGCACCAAAGGAAGTGGACAGAACCAGCTGACCCGTCCCAGGGGTCTATGTACAGATAGAGCTGACAATATCATAGTGGCTGACTGTGGCAACAACAGAGTTCACTTGTTAAGTCCAGATGGAAAGTTCATAAAATACCTTCTTACAGAATCAGATGGAGTACAGTACCCACATGCTGTAGCAGTGGACAAAGAAGGACAGTTGTTGGTAGGAGATTGCAATGGCTATATCAGTTGTGTTAAGTATATAGTGTAGGTGTCTGTGTTTGGACAGGTTAACAGAACCAACTCATCAAAAACAGAGACATATTCCTTTGAAGTTTGAAATATTAACCAATGATGCATTTCAATTAATGTCAACTATATTCCAATATATGAAGTGTAGTTGTATTTTATATGTGGTCTTATAAAAGATTGCGTTTGTATTACTCCTTTTCATTAGACCACAGAATGAAAATAGCAATTTTCTGATTTCTTAATCACATTAGAATCAACTAATAAGGTTGAAATAACTTGATAAGGATCAACTATTTTGTCATATTAAACGATCATTTCAAATACAGTAGAACCTGTAAATGGAACACCTCACAAGTGGAACCATGTTTTTAAAGTCCCATGACATATCTTCTCCATGTTAATGAACCTCTCTAAGTGGAATACCTCCCAAGTGGAACACTTTTTAGTGGTCCCAAGGGTGTTCCACTTACAAGGGTTCTACTGTATGTTTCACTAATGATAATATGGATTAATAAAACTAAAAACAGCAACTCCCTGGGGTAGCAAATCGCACTACTGAACCAAACTAAATATCAATTTGAAATCACTAATAGTACAAATATTTTATTTAGTCTGGAGGGCTAGTGGAATATCATCTTGTGAAAATGCAGAAATATTTTCCCCTTTCGGCAAAATCTATACCCATGATATGAAATGACACCACATTATAAACTTCTTTGATAGAGGTCCAAACAGTGAAAGGCCCTTAAAATTTGAACCATATCAATTCTGTTAGGCGGGATCAAGATTCCTTCACTGTAATTGCTTTAATTTGATGGATTGATAAAAACAATTTTGCATTCTAATCTGGCAAGAATACCATTGGAACAGGCCCAGCAAGGTGGTAATAATACATTTTTATACAATTACTAGTAAGTAATCGCCAGCATTAGTGTCATTGGTACTTTACTTTAGCTAGGTAAGGTTTAATCAATAGAAATGCCTTACATGGATAGTTTAGTTTGAGGGAGACTGTGCACCTTCAGTAACCAAACTTATGGAGGGGAGTGTACTAAGTGAGAGAGACAATAACTTTCAACTCAGCTCTAATCGTTGTTGCCCCTTTAACCAGTGCCTCGATGTGAGCCCAACAAGGATAACATAACTTCAACTTATTGCATTATCTCATTTATTACATTAATATCAATTCAATACTATTCTACAATGTATAAAACTATTTGACAATACAAGGCAACAAATCTGTAAAACTATATTTAGCACCATATCATAATTGCATAGATGTTCTTCATTAATAATTTTTAAACAACTTTTTAAAACTTTTATTTTAGAGTTTCAGCTAAATTTCATTGTGAGGAAACCTAGCCCTATACTAGTATTAGTTAAAGTGTATACAGTACGTGAAATTACATCTATTAGGAAAGTCTTTTTAAAGTACTAAAATATAATTTTAAGTTTAATCATTAACTAAAAAAGTCACCTTTGTAACAATGTTTTATAAAATACATGTATTCAGAATTAGAGTATACATAACCAGAACAACGGCAACGCCAAAGCGTAGCGAATCCCATCGAACAGAAATGGCTGGCATTTTTACAAACGAAGCGCAAATATCATAAAACAACACACCAGAAAGGCCACCATTTTCAAAATAGTTGCTCACTAGCCAAGTTGTCATCAGAAGAAATAATATGCTTTTAAGTAGCCACCTCTAAAATTTTTGAAAAATCGCACACATACTTGTAAAATAACACACATAAAAATGGTGGCCATTTTTCAAAATGTCCGACTACTCCCCAAAGTTTTATTAGACAATGTGCCATGCTTAAAGTATTCACATATCAAATATGAACAAAATCGCTCCAATACTTTTCGAGTTATAGTAAAATACGTTAAAATGGCGGCCATTTTTCCAAATGGCCACCTTCTACCAAAAGCGTCATTAGAAATAGACGGTGTTCCATGCTTATAGTATTCACATACCAAATATGAACAAAATCGCTCCACTACTTTTCGAGTATTAGTAAAATACGTTAAAATGGCGGCCATTTTTCAAAATTGTTTTCAAAATGGCCGCCTTCTACCAAAAGAGTCATAGGACAGTGTGCCATGCTTATAGTATTCACATACCAAATATGAACAAAATCGCTCCACTACTTTTCGAGTTATAGTAAAATACGTTAAAATGGAGGCCATTTTTCAAAATTGTTTTCAAAATGGCCGCCTTCTACCAAAAGTGTCATAGGACATTTTGCCATGCTTATAGTATTCACATACCAAATATGAACAAAATCGCTCCACTACTTCTCGAGTTATAGTAAAATACGTTAAAATGGCGGCCATTTTTCAAAATGGCCGCCTTCTACCAAAAGTGTCTTTAGACAGTGTGCAATGCTTATAGTATTCACACACCAAATATGAACAAAATCGCTCCACTATTTTTTGAAAATCGGCTTTCGAGCAGAACTTCTACCCCCATAGGGTATATGTGTACGAAATATGAACAAAATCGGGTCAACGGTATTTGAGTTATTGCCCAGACGGACGGATGTACGGACGGACGTACGGACGTACGTACGGACGGACGGACGGACGAAGGTGTTCCCTATATCCCTCCGAACTTCGTTCGATGGGATAATAAAGGTGTCATTTTAAGTCTTATCAAAGAAAATCATTCCAAGTCAATCTTATTCATGATCTTTGTATGAAACATCACAAAATGAATGACATAATTTACATCATGTATGTTTAGAGCTAGTTCCATACAATATTGCACTGTTGCACTGTATAAGGAGGAATTTTCCAAACCAGGTAGATATTCTAATCTTGTCCAAATATGTAATTATTGACATTTCCAACAAATAAATTGAAATTCACAAAATGAACTCTGTCTCCACTCTTTCCATGTAATTTTTTACATTTGTGAGCATATTTCAACATATTGGTATATGTCCCTTAAATTGCAATGCTGTATTCTGAAAATACCAGAGTTACAATGAATTATATAATATTATATCACTTATAAATGCACAGGTATTCACTGAGGTTTATATATTATCTATATGTAAATTATTCTATGTGTAAAATGTACATATATATGTAAAATATCTATTAAAGAAATATTGAATACATGGATTCTATTACGTTATTCCTATCACATCTAAATGTTATCAAAATTTGGCACCAATATATATCAAAACCAAAATCTAGCCTACAATCTTACATGTAAAGGGTGTCAAAGAAAATGCAATTTACCTCTTTATGGAACACCCTGTATTTTTAGAGATTCCCCTTAGTATGGATTTCTCTTGAAAATTGTTTCATGTAAAAACTCAGCAGTTCAGTTATTGTAAAACTATAATCACAAAAACGGCACCATCCAGCAATCCAATAGTGTTTTGTAGGACTATTTTTCATGGACTGAATTTCTCTACTACGGTATGTCTTATGTTCATTCTCTATCATTGATATATAAAGGTTCTAATATCTTATTTATAAAAACTCATTTTAGACTATTGCGCTTAGGGTGATTGAGTGAAAAATTGAAGCATACATAATAATCATAGATACTACATATTCATATGCATGCAGATAATGAGCAGTATAGATATAACCAGTTGAAAAACTATTTTGTTGGGACACTCAGAAATTTTGGTGATATGAAATATACGTTGATGTAAATCCATTGTATTTTTGATTGACTTAAGCCATGGGTTCACTTATGTCAGTTTAAGTGTCATACTTCTGTCTAATCTCAAATATTCCATATCCAATAGGTATGTAATTCCATATCCAATAGGTATGTACATCTTGTATATATTCCATTCCTAGATGCCCTTTGCAACATTATATTTCTAGTTTTCGTATGAATATGAGAACCCAAACATAGACGCTGTTGGACATACTTTGTTAAAACTCGAAGATGCATGCTATTGGATAGTTTTTCCTCAATGGGCTTGTCATTTTGGGACATTCTGAAAAACAAAATATGTTTATAAACATCATTCAGTTTAACACACGAGCAATTTGAATTAGGCTAGAATAAAGAGTTGATTTTTTCATATCACTATAAAGTACAACCTATAATAAACATAAACATTTTTTTTCAAAATGTAAGTGGTGGAAAAGGTGATCACAAAACCCAAATTTTATAATTCAGATTTATTTTTACTTAAAGTGTGGGGGTGTTATAAGGGTATGAAGCAAGTCAACAAATAATTACCCTTTTCGCAGCGTTTTCCATGGAAACCAGTAGCAGTGCAGTCGCAGTGAAATGTACGTTGGTTTCTATGGTAATTCTTTACTTGTAAACAGACTCCCTCATTTTGGCAATGGTTGTTTAAACACTTGTCATACTTTCCTGAAACAAATAAAAAACAGGGCATTAACATGGAAAATCTCAGCACCTGCCATTTGTTACAGACATCAAATGCCAACTGCCAAACAGAGTCTACAAATAAGGTATTAATATGCAAAATGTCACCACTTTCCATTTGTTAGACATTGAATGCCAACCACCAAACACCAGCTGCCAAACATGTAACATCCTGAGACATTAATGCAAAATATCACCATTTCATTACAGAAGCCAAACGCTGAACACCAACCACCATCCACAAAAAAGTTGGAGACTATACAAATGGTGGTGACATAAACATTAAGTGTGTAGAATTAGGAACAGATGAAATGATGGAATGTAATATTACGGGAGTTCTAGGGAGAACCTTGCATACCTTGTTTGTCTCTCCTGCACTCCCAGCGTGACTTGTAGGGGAATGGGTTGTTACATGCTAGTTGGTCTTTACATACGCACTGGTGGTTTTCTAGGTTACATCCCCTGAAACGCCTCCTCCTGCAACGTGGCTTTGCTACCTCATCACATAGAACCAGGTAGGCTGAAGGCACAGAAACATAAATGAATGAGATTAAAGAATTTCAGATTTCAGATAACATTTATCATTTCGTTAACTAGCATAATAACTAGAACAACGCCAAAACGTAACAAATCCCATCGAACAGAAATGGCTGGCATTTTTACAAACAAAATATATAGCAAATATAAAAATATAATAAAATAACACACATAAGAAAGGCCACCATTTTCAAAATGGCATGCTCACTAGCCAAGTTGTCATCAGAAGAAGTAATATGCTTTTAAGTAGCCACATATAAAATTTCACACACATACACACGCACACATGTAGATGTAAATAGTGGCTACTCCCCAAAATGTCATAAAACAGTGTGCAATGCTCATGAGTATTCACATATCAAATATGAACAAAATCGCTCTAGTACTTTTCTAGTTATACATGTAGTAAAAAAAATGTAAAAATGGTGGCCATTTTTCAAAATGGCCGCCTACTACCCAAGGTGTCATTAGACAGTGTGCCATACTTATAGCATTCACATATAAATATAAATATGAACAAAATCACTCCATTACTTTTTTCTTTACAGTAAAAAATGTTAAATAACACACATAAAAATGGTGGACATTTTGAAAAATGGCCACCTACTACCCAAAATGTCATTAGACATTGTGCCTTTCTTAAAGTATTCACATATCAAATATGAACAAAATCGCTCCACTACTTTTCAAGTTACATGAAAATTTGTAAAATGACGTGCAAAGGCAGCCATTTTTCAAGATGGCTGCCATAATTTCTTTTATATTTACATTTCTAGCTTAATCAATGTTCTATATAACTTTTTTACATCTAAAACATATTGCTATTACAGTTTTATATGCAGTACCTAAATTACGGTAAAATCAGCACTAAAATGGCCGCCATTTTTTAAGGAGCTACCATTTCGAAAATTGGTTTTCAAGTAGAACTTCTACCCTCATTGGATATATCTGTACAACATTTGAACAAAATCAGGCCAACGGAATTTGAGTTATTGCCCGGACAGACGGACGGACAGATAGAGGCATTCCCTATATCCCTCCGAACTTTGTTCGATGGGATAATCAAGTGGATCACTAGTAACAACAGCGTTTTATAACTGCTTTACCAATTAGGCTCAGCATATAAGAGCAGCATATTGTATTGAATTGGTTATTGTTAGGTCTGGTTAGCAACATCACTATAGTAGTCGTACAGTTAAGTTTCAAAATGAGATGCAGTAACATGTGGATGATTCTCTATATAAGTCTAGCTTACATGGTGACAACAACTTCAGGTTACAGTTTTGATCCGGAAAACAAACATTTTAGTAATGAAAGCAGACACGGTTTAGAAGAGTCTCCAGAAACTGTACCAACGTCAGAGCTGAATGTCATTGCCACTACAAGCGATGCAAGTAGAGCTGATGATACGAAGCATATTGGTCAAGATGTTGAAACTAAGCATAAAAAGGTTCCTACAGAAGAATCAATGAATGCAACACATGAGTCAACAGATTTACCGGTGAGTCAATTCAATGATCCTACATCTAATAGAACACAACTCAATCAAATAGCAACAACTAGTCCTGATATTGCAACAACTGGTCCTGATTTTGTAACAACTGGTTCTGATTTTGCAACAACTGGTTCTGATTTTGCAACAACTGGTCCTGATTTTGCAACAACTGGTCCTGATTTTGTGTTGAGAGATGACTGTAAAGCTGATGAGAATAATATTCAAACATGTCCGCTAGATGACCCGGAAGAACGTCTTAAGAAATCATGTGACGGCAAATGTGGAAAAATAAAGCGAGAACTTTTTTGTCAATGTGACTCTGAATGCTCCAAATATGGAGACTGTTGTCTTGACTACACTACAATATGTGATCGAGATGGGTTTAATGATCTTAGAAAAAGTAATAAGGAGTTCTACGAATGCACAGAAGTTTCTGACAGTGAAGATATCAGATCTACCATAATGGTCTATATGATTGTCAAATGCCCTTCGAACCAAAACAATTCCAAATTGAATAAAGAATGTCAGGCGCGTGATGGAATTCTCAATATCATACCAGTCACTGATTCCTTCTCTGGGGAAAATTATAGAAACAAATACTGCGCATTATGTCATGGAGTTACTGCATTTGAGCCATGGAATGTCTCAATTGGTTGCGAATCCGATGAAATCAGTCCAGAAAAATTCCTCCATACTGGCATTGACCTTTTACTGGATCTACTCAAAAACCCTGCTTGTACCATTGACGTTACGGCACCAGTAACAGCTCGGCGTTGTATGAAGCTGCAGTATAGTTGCGACCCTCAGTGCAAGGGTTCAAAAATATCAGAGAAATGTGCTACCGCAGGTCAAAATCCCATAATTCATCTTTATTTCCCCGGCATTGCATTTTACAACATTTATTGCCTGCATTGTTTCTTTAACCGAAATCCAGTTATCGAGGAGTATGTTAAGTGCATGAGTACTCCTATAAGGACTCATAAGCCTATGACTTACAAATTCTTTAGTTTTACATTATTGGTAGAAATGGAACCATCTGATACATATGGACTAAAGATTGAGGCAGATGGGCTTTTTGGACTTGACAATCTCGAATTTCAATGTGATGGAAACCAACATCAATGTGTTGTGAGTGACTGCCCGGCCCATCACACAAAACTAGGCTCTAGGTGTTCAATCGTAGACGATGTCATAGTTCAAGTAATCCTTGATTGTATACTGAACTACAAAAATTCTAATGCAGACAAAATTTTCAAAGATAACAACTATATATTTGGTACTATTTTGAAGGAACTTATCAACGCAAAATTCAACCCAATTGGCTACATCTATATAGAATATAGACGCTGGGATAGTTCTATAACAAATTATGAAGAAAAAGAGAGATTCAACATTACTGCCCCAAGTGACATCACCATTGCTTCTCTAGAAATGGGCTTACTAAAGCAGCGGGACAGTTTGATCGCTCATCTAGAACAACTTGTCACAAAAGTAAGTGTGAACATGACATATGAGATCATTCAACTGGGCTCAAATAATATGATCACCCATGTTGCAGCCAGTCATCAACATCAACTCCAAGCAAGTTGGGTAATATTAATCACACTTTTAACACTTAGAGTGTATATGTAGGACTCATAAACTTAACTAAACAATTTGATTTGAGCAGCATATTGAAGATTCCTTCTTGAAAGGAAGTGCAATACCCATAAGACATAAACCGATAAAACTTGAATCAAATCTGTCAAACGGTATTTGAGTTATTGCCCAGACAGCTGAATGAACAAAACAAACAAATGAATGAACGAAAAGACAGCTTCCTCGAACGTCGTTCGGTGGGATAATGAGGAAATGACTGATTTAAGTTGATCATTGAAAATAATAGACATGCAGGCAAAATGTTACATCATTCCAAGGTAAATAAGCATGAGGGGGAGTGACTTTTTACATCAGCCCCTAGCATAGGATTTGATCCTATGTTTCAGATTAATTAAATATTCAGCCAGGAGTGTTAATAGACATCAATACAAAAAGCTTTTCATTATCATTAGCTAATGATTATTGAATTCTTCAGAAATCTGAAGAATTAAAAGCATGCAACGTCTGATTATAGTTTCTGAAGGATTAAATGAGTCGTACCAGTACTGATATTGCTGAGTTTAATAGTCTGATTAAGAAAACTCTGTAATTGATTTCCGAAGTTCTGATATATATCCATGGTTTATTTAAGGAATAAATAACGAAAGGCCATTCAATATGGTGAAATTCAGCACAAGCTGGACAGAATGTCGTACAAAGCATAAACTGAAGGTGAGTGTATTTGTACTGACATTCTGTCCAATGAGTGCATTTGTACTGACATTCTGTCCAATGAGTGCATTTGTACTGACATTCTGTCCAACAAGATAAGTAATTTATAATTGATAGATAGATTAATTGAAAACATTGGCAAATTACTGGAAGATCTTAATTTATATAAAATTGTGATTTAACCTTTTTAATACAACATATATTATGTTATGGTTACTTAATCTTTTATATGTTCTTATATGTGCTGGATGTGGCAAACTCTACCTTGGTCAAACAGGGGATGTATTGAGAAATCGGATCCGTGTACATAGACAACAGATTAGGGATGATTCTGTACGAATGTTACCTGTGAGCGATCACATCGCAAAGTGTGCATTTAAAGACAAGAACACAAATGTGTACAAAATGTCCCCACCAAGTGGTGATCCCGTGAAATGGTTATCCTGAAAATGAGTAGACAAGACTTTACCAACACAATTTGAGGACGGAAAATCCAAAGTGGCCACCTTAAAATTTACCCAGAATGCCAAAAATTTAGTCAGTTCTAGATTTTCATACTAAGAACCACCCCTGAAAATTTGAAATTGATCCGTCACATAGTTAACCAGAAAACATGTAAACAAGACTTTACAGACAAGATTTCAGGATGGAAAATCCAAAATGGCTGCCTTGACATTTACCAAGAATGTCAAAAAACTAATCTGTTTGTAGATTTTCATACTAAGAATCATCCCTGAAAATATGAAATTGATCTACCAAACGGTTCACCTGAAAACGGGTAGACAAGACTTTACAGACAAGATTTTAGGACAGAAAATCCAAAATGGCTGCCTTAACATTTACGCAGAATGCAAAAAAAGTAATCAGATGTAGATTTTCATACAAAGAATCATCCCTGAAAATTTGAAATTGATCTATCAAACCGTTCACCTAAAAACGCGTAGACAAGACTTTACAGGCAAGATTTTAAGACGGAAAATCCAAAATGGCTGCCTTGACATTTACCCAGAATGCCAAAAAACTAATCAGTTCTAGATTTTCATACTAAGAATCATTCCTGAAAATTTGAAATTGATCTACCAAACAGTTCACCTGAAAACGAGTAGACAAGACTTTACAGACAAGATTTTAGGACGGAAAATCCAAAATGGCTGCCTTGACATTTACCCAGAATGCCAAAAAACTAATGAGATCTAGATTTTTATACTAAGAATCATCCCTGAAAATTTGAAATTGATCCACCAAACAGTTCACCTGAAAACGCGCAGACAAGACTTCACAGACAAGATTTTAGGACCGAAAAATCCAAAATGGCCGACAATAAAAAAGTCCTTATGAGTTTTTGCTGATTTCTTTTTACAAAATTATCACATATAACTACTGTTAACAATAAAGTAGGCTTTTACAGCAAAGTACATCTGAAATTATTTATAAAGCTACTAAATAGTTAAAGTATGAAAACTCAAAAACACCATTCAATATGATACAAAGTATTATCGCGCGCTAACTTTTCTTAAGACATTCAAAATGGCTGACATGACTGAGCTAGCAGGTCCAAAACCTAATCAGATCTAGAATGAAGTGAGCTGAACAAGATGTTAAAGTTTTAAAAGCAACTGTGAAGCAGTTTTTCTTAAAGTTTGCAGACAAGGATTTTAGCATTTGACTTCAAAATGGCCGACAGGAAGTAGGTTTCGAGTTAAATTTTTTTCATCCACATCTATAGGCACTCATAAGTTATTCCTGAAAATTAGAAGGTGATACCTGTATCGGTTTTGGAGAAAACTGCCGGACGTACGGACGGACAGACAGACAACCAACCAGACAGACGGACTGACGGACGCGCCTAGGACGACAATATGTCCCCACACTATGTGGTGGGGACATAAAAAGACAAAATCAAAGTATTACCATTTTTTACATTCCAAATGGAAAATGTTTCTTTGAGAATATTATATGAAGAACACTTCATAAAAATATCTAAACCCAAATTGAACTATAAATAAATACAAGAACACAAATGTGTACAAAATGTCCCCACCAAGTGGTGATCCCGTGAAATGGTTATCCTGAAAATGAGTAGACAAGACTTTACCAACACAATTTGAGGACGGAAAATCCAAAGTGGCCACCTTAAAATTTACCCAGAATGCCAAAAATTTAGTCAGTTCTAGATTTTCATACTAAGAACCACCCCTGAAAATTTGAAATTGATCCGTCACACAGTTAACCAGAAAACATGTAAACAAGACTTTACAGACAAGATTTCAGGATGGAAAATCCAAAATGGCTGCCTTGACATTTACCAAGAATGTCAAAAAACTAATCTGTTTGTAGATTTTCATACTAAGAATCATCCCTGAAAATATGAAATTGATCTACTAAACGGTTCACCTGAAAACGGGTAAACAAGACTTTACAGACAAGATTTTAGGACAGAAAATCCAAAATGGCTGCCTTAACATTTACGCAGAATGCAAAAAAAGTAATCAGATGTAGATTTTCATACAAAGAATCATCCCTGAAAATTTGAAATTGATCTATCAAACCGTTCACCTAAAAACGCGTAGACAAGACTTTACAGACGGAAAATCCAAAATGGCTGCCTTGACATTTACCCAGAATGCCAAAAAACTAATGAGATCTAGATTTTTATACTAAGAATCATCCCTGAAAATTTGAAATTGATCCACCAAAAGGTTCACCTGAAAACGCGCAGACAAGACTTCACAGACAAGATTTTAGGACCGAAAAATCCAAAATGGCCGACAATAAAAAAGTCCTTATGAGTTTTTGCTGATTTCTTTTTACAAAATTATCACATATAACTACTGTTAACAATAACATAGGCTTTTACAGCAAAGTACATCTGAAATTATTTATAAAGCTACTAAATAGTTAAAGTATGAAAACTCAAAAACACCATTCAATATGATACAAAGTATTATCGCGCGCTAACTTTTCTTAAGACATTCAATATGGCTGACATGACTGAGCTAGCAGGTCCAAAACCTAATCAGATCTAGAATGAAGTGAGCTGAACAAGATGTTAAAGTTTTAAAAGCAACTGTGAAGCAGTTTTTCTTAAAATTTGCAGACAAGGATTTTAGCATTTGACTTCAAAATGGCCGACAGGAAGTAGGTTTCGAGTTAAATTTTTTTCATCCACATCTATAGGCACTCATAAGTTATTCCTGAAAATTAGAAGGTGATACCTGTAGCGGTTTTGGAGAAAACTGCCGGACGTACGGACGGACAGACAGACAACCAGACAGACAGACAGACGGACGGACGGACGCGCCTAGGACGACAATATGGCCCCACACTATGTGGTGGGGACATAAAAAGTAACCATAACAACAAGGTAAATATATAATTAAATATGTATCATATTTGATTTACTAGGTAACAGTTGGTATCTACTATATATTTTTATATTACATCATTATGCGAATTAATGTAATTAAATGCCGTAATTGAATAACTGATATTACGTAATATATTCACATGTTTATCCATTTCTAATTGAGATCAAAGGTATAGGGGCATATTGTGCGATTTAAATGATAATCAGTTACCTGAAGAATAAAAGTGAAACCTGTAGTGACTGAATTACTTCTTCTGTTATTTTCTGTTTTTATAATCCTTTTTTTATATATTGTAAAATCTCTTGAAATCTCATTCATACCTCTTTTCTCCCAAACAATAAAAAGATATATTTCATACTATTGAGGTGAATACCTCTTTACCTGAATACCTATCTTTCAATGATTCTAGCAAGGTGTTTTGCCCGATGGCCCAACGCAAAATAGTATGATTTTTTTGTTTTTATTCTTCACTGTTATGCTCACCACCCTCTTATTGGGAATGCCTAACAAAAAGAAGAATGATTAGAACTCATCAGTATTTTATATATCTTTATTCCCAACATTAAATTCAACTCATCCTGTCTGGGTATGTTATAGTCTCAATC